GAAGGCAAGTTAGAGACAGCCCAATACCAGGAAGTAGGGAGAGGACAAGGATGGCTTTACATGGCTTTTGTGACTCCCTGATCATGCAGTCAGCCCCAGGGAATTTAGGGCACCTTTGGTTTAAAGTACCTGTAGCTGCCTGCAACTCCAAAGAACTGTTGGGTAGCTGGAGCTTGAGTTCTCTAGCCACATATCCTCTTTCCCAGCTATAATTCCTCTGTCATAGAGGTACTGAGGCAGCTTTAAGCCATCTGGGGAAATGCCCAAGCAATCATTTAAGGCAATCGAAACAAAGGGGAGAAACTAGGATCTAAGAGTCAGATGATGATCTTTGTTAAACCATATTAAATCTAGAAAAAGTCCACTGAAGTCAGTAGTGTTTGTTATCAATAGTCTCAGATATCAATCTGAGATCAAAATTTAGGCCAGCATGCTAATTTCTGTTCTGACTCATCATGAGATACTACTGAAGTTAGTGAAATGATAGTGTAAATCAGGGCAAAGTTTATCAAAGAGTGGTGGCCTTAAATTGTGTTTCCTTTGAAAATACCATTTACTATTTTAAAACACATTTTGGCTACGTCTACACTGACGTGTTCTCACGCAAAAACTCTTCCAGAAGAGAGCGTCTACACTGGCATGTGCTTTTGCGCAAGAGATGTGCTTTTGTGCAAGAGCATCCATGCCAGTGTAGACGCTCTCTTGCACAAGAAAGCTCTGATGGCCATTTTAACCATAGGATTTTCTTGCGCAAGAAATTCATGTTGCCTGTCTATACTGGCCTTTTCTGGAAGAGCTCTTGTGCAAGAGGGCTTCTTCGTGAGCAGGAGCGTCAGAGTCCTGGTGCAAGAAGCCCTGATTTTATACATTAGAATGTTGGTTTACTTGCGCAAGAACACACGGCCAGTGTAGACAGGCAGCAAGGTTTTGCGGGCCAGTGTAGACAGGCAGCAAGTTTTTGCGCAAGAGCGGCCGCTTTTGTGCAAGATCGTGCCAGTGTAGACACCGCCTTTGAGTATATTTAATTTATTTTAGGGCTCCAAAAGCAGCAATTTAACTATCCTGGCTACTTTGATAAATATAGTAAATCTTGGTTATGTTACTACATTTCTCACTCCCTGATCCTGGCATAGTGACACTGCGAGGAGTTAATATTACATTTTAGATTATGACATTCTTAGTCAGCAATCATCAGCATTATATCCCATAAGTTCAAACATCCTGATTCCCTTGGGCACATATTTTTACTTTCACCCTGCCAACAGTGTGCTGTGGTATTTTTTTAAGCACCTATTCTTAAGATATGCTAATCTGTTTAAATGGAGTATCTGTATGCTATGAATTTTGATTTATTTTTCTCTTTCTCTTTGTACACAGTATTGGTCAGATCAATGAAGGAAGGTTGGTTCAGGGAAGAGATCACAGAATGAGGTATGGTGGTACCACTTGCAGATGATAGTGAGCAAAGATAATATCTGCAACACAGGCTCTGGAGGCTGTGAGATCATGTAGTTCTAGTTGCAAAACCCAGCCAGCCTAGTTCTCTTCCTTTATCCAGTATCATCTACACATCTTTTCTTATTCATAGTATCTGACAGTAACCATATGTCTTCCTTGCCAGTTTCTTGGAGAAATAGTTTGAATCGCATTTGTGTGGGGTGAAGATCTTTGTTAGAGGAGGCCAAGTCAGAGATGAGTTTTGTATTCGGTTAAAATATGACTGCTGTGCGAGCTGTTGTTTTTGCTCTCTCTTGGTATGCAGCAATGATTCCCAAAGTTTAGGTCCAGCTCCTATGAAAGTACTGTCTCCTGCACTCACCAGCTTCCTCCTTGTGGCCAGTAGTTTCATTGTTTCAGTGTAATGTAGCTATCTTGAAAAGCCATAGTCATTTACGAAGAGAGAATCTTATTGGCAGAAATATCTTCTCACATAGAGAGCTTTGACTATTGGGATAGAAACCTTGAAGTAGATAGCTATGGCAATTTATGTTGCTAACAGAAAATCTGCTATATTTTGTACTTCATGGTGCTTTTTCTGGGCATGTTGCTTAATTTCCAAATGTAAGTTGCAATAATGAAGCCTAGAGGTCACTAATGCATGGATAACTACCTGGTATATTTGCCATGTGGCTGGCTTAGTGCAATCTTCTTCTGCAGTCACATGTAGGAATGAACACTTTCTGAATCCCTAGCTATTTAGGTATCCAGTAGCATGGAGGAATCCAAAAGGACCCCAAGGCTGTGGATCAGCTAGCAGTAAATGAATTAAAAATTCATTTTCCCAGCAGTATTTCCACATGTAGGCTTAAAGGAGCAGTCAATTTAAAAATAATGCTACTGTCTGAAAATGTTTTACCTACTATTATTACAAGTAACTCCTAAGGCTATTATAATGATATGTGATTATTTTTCTCTATTTTTTAGTTTATTTTCCTTGACAGAACTTTGTAATTTAATTTTGCTTTTCTCCTCCAGATTTTTGTTAGCTGGTTTCTTTTCTCATTTCAATTGCATGGAGCTTTCACACAAAGTCATATGGCAGGAAAAAAAGCATTTCTTTAAATGTGATCACAAAATCTTAAAAGAAATCAGGGAGACTCAGGGATCAGGTGAAACTGCTTTCAAATAATTTTTTGATATTTGACTGAATTTCAAAGATGACAGTTTCCCTCCAAAATTTGATTCAATGAGCATTTGTAGTAATCAAACCAATCCCATAACCTATTCCCATTCATACCAGGTGGTGAACACCAAACATCTAAGTCTGAGAAGCACAACATCCTCACATCAGCTCATGCCAGTGCCCTGCCACGGGGTCATTGTTGTTCACTGTATGAATGAAAGCTAGGGAGATTGACCAGATATATGTAGAAGCACACTGGGGGGATATTCACAGCAGGTAAAGCCCTATTCAGTGCAGCTGGGAATTTCTATCAGAATGTTTTGACTCATTACCTTGAGCCTTCATCAGCTGATGGAACTAATTTTTTTGTTCACCAGCTGATTAAGATTCAAGATAATGAGTCAAAACATGCCAGTAGTAATTCCCAACAGCACAGAAGACAGGATGTTAACTTCTACACATACATGCATGCATATAGGCAGACACCAAATGAAACTCAGCCTTCCAGCATATGGATGAGTTCATTTCATTAATGGAAAAGGTGACAATTTCACATATATCTAGAAAAAGAAGAAGGGGGAGGGAACCCACACTCCAGACCAAACAATTGAAATGATGCCAACAATTCTATCACAGAAAGAAAGGCAACACAGAATTAATGGATGAAAGAACACTATCAAAGAAAAAAAAGGAATTACTTTGTATAAATCTACATGGAATATATGAAAATCCAGATTCAAATATTTTGTACATTATCCTGAATCAACAAACATGCTTCAGAGTGCTTTGGATGGCACTGTTACTATGCACACAGTACTCAGTTTAACATTCCAGCAATTTTCCACAACACCTTCTTCACATTCTGCTGGCCTTTTACGTGTCTACAAAACACTGAATTTTAGAAAGAGGCATTTGATTAAGAAGAAACCCCTTATAGCAAAAATTTAAAATCCTAATATATGCTTTGGAAAAAAATGAAATATTTATATTATGTATTGTTGAGCATACTGTCTGAACTTTTTATGGCTTGAAAGGTTTAGGCTTTGGCGAAGGGAGGGGTGGAACCAGCAGGACTTGTATTAGTGAGAACCACAATAACCATCAATCCAACCAACAGCTCAGTGCCAGTAAAAGGGTGAAAAGCTACTTAAAGGATGTGTGAGCTGAATAGTTAATACACTGTTCCCAGAACTAGTAATTCAGAAGTTCTAAATGTAGTATTCTATTATTCCAAAAGCTGAAAAATAATAGTCCCATGATATGATCCAACTAATTTTTAACTTACCCATAGAATGTCACTATCATGTTAGCAATTGAAACATAATATCTGTAATACAAAGTCCTGTATATTATATTTTCTATAGTAAGTGATAAATTATGGTACAGTACAAACTGAATGTAAACTATTTGTACTGTATATCATGGCTGAGATCCCAGTATCTTCACACCACAAGGACTGGAAGTATGTAGCAATTTTAAATGCAAGCCTGTGTTACCAGAAAAGAGGCTGTATTCTTACATATATGATTAAGGATCACTTCTCCTTGTAGCATGCAGCTGATCTTCATGTTTCTAAAATAATGTTTCTGGAACATTTTGTTACAATTGTATATAAGATTTTGGAACAAAGAAAAGTGCTGCAGAGATTAAAACATTTTTTTGTTTTTTTCCCTTCTGAGTTATGTCTATACTGTAACAATTCCTAACCTGTCAGTTACTGCAGACACTATCAGTAAGCATATTAGAAAGCAGAAGCTACTACTATTGTGCAATTTACAATGCGCAATTGAAGCAGAGCAATTGTCGTACAATCTATAAAAGACCTACTCATAAATGTCTTCAGAGAGGGTCTTAATTGCTGCATGATTTACTGCATGTAGAATATCTTCTCTTTTGTGTTTAGAAATATTTTAAGGAGGAGAAACCTTTTTAGCCACGTTTTATAGGCCAGTCTTTGCATTGGTAGCATGCATTTACTAGCTGGATAATTGGTGGCACAGTTCTTCTATCATAAACATTGTTATCAGTTAATTAAACTTGAAATGCAGCTTTGTTTCACAACATGTTTTGTCAGATTGTTTTCCTTATTTATTTATCATCATAAAATTTTATTTTATGACTGGCAGCTCCTCAGCCCTCCAATAATAATATAAATCAAAACATAAGATTTTAGTCTTCATGCAATTTCCGTTTGGTCTGAAAATATGAAACCAGATGTTTTTGGCATGCTAAAGATGCTTTTCATCTTTTTTTAGATTATTTCAATGCAGTCAAAGTAAATGCATTTTTAAAACCAACTTATGAAAGTTAAATTTCCTTTGTTCACCAGGGTGTAGTCTGGTTTGCATTGATGCAGAAGCTGAGAGAGACCGTTCTGATAAAATACTGAATGCCACTGAAGAATTGCACATGTGTGTCTCAGACAGCAACAGGAATTGTATTAATAGCAGATCAGTAGATTGATGTTATAAATTAAAACATTATGAACTTTTTACAGTAGGGCATTGGTAAGCCGTTTAGAAGAAGAGTGGACTGCAGGACAGTGAAGCGAACTACAGTTTTGTACAGTAAGTGACTAACATGCAATATTTGTTCACATATTTAGCAGCCTGTTTCAGCTCAGAAACAGATTTTTTTTTAATGATGGCCTAAAGAATTGTCATCAGTATTTCCTTTTACAGTGAATTCCATTTCAGCAGACATTAGATCTAGGCTGGAGGCTATCACTGAAGGACCTAAACATTCCCAGGTGGGCCTCTCTTCAATAACAGTAGCAGCCTGGAAGGGATTTACTGATACTGTAAAGAATATGAAGTAATAAACAGGAACTGGAGCAAAGTGGGACAATTGATATGCTCATTTGCATGCCAGTGTTCAGAATGCTCCTCCAGCTCTCAGTCATTTCAAAGGAGTTTTGGTGAAACAAATGGAGAGGTTTCAGCATGTTTGTGCAGAATGTTATTTTGTGTGTGCTTTTTCAGCTAAATGGTAGATGGTTTTCTCCACACTTACTCTCCCCATATCTGAACTGGATGAAAGAAAGAAATGTACGTTTGTTTTTCGTTAGATTTGACCTACTTCAGAGGCAGAGTGTTAGAAAAGCAATAAGCTTTTTATAGTGAGACTAAACATTTTCAGCCACCCAGAATTGATAATGAATCTAAGTCTTACAAAAATCACACAGTGGATACATACTTGCCATTGCTTTGCCATTATTGTGACATGCACTACAGCTTTGTGTTTTATTTATGCAGGGAAATTAAGTTGAACAGGGGACATGAGAAAAACCATGAGAATAAATGCAGTCATTCCACCTGAGCACATAATTATTTTTATGATGAATGTTGGACTTTCCGGTTAAAGTATTTGGACTTAAATATTTTCTTTATTTGGCTGGCTCTGTGAAGCTTAGTGACTAATGTAACTTTTTTTTAAAGTAAAAATGAAAAAACTCACCACAAAGGAATATAGTGTTTTCAATATATTTAACTGTATCCTAATATTTTAATACCTTGATATTTTTCCTATGTATATTTTTATCTAGAGAAGAAAGGAATGAGCAACTGGGCAACTCTCCTCCAGAATGTCTATGGGAGGAGAGAATCAAGTTGGTGAACAGTCTGTTCAGGGCTGTAAAGGGAACCAGGAAGTATGTGTAGGAGAAAATGGGGGACCAAATAGGGAATTCTGGGCTCATGGTTAGGAAAGCCACTTAGCATTGACCTCAGTGGGAGCTAAGATCATTCAGCACCTCACGGTCATACACCCACAGGTAAAGGGGACCAGGTGAGAATTACATGCAGCTGGAGAGGAGCAGCAGAAAGGAAAAGATGGACCAACGTAGACAGAATGAATGAGATTTTTGTAAGTGTTTCTATGTGGATTATCTCTTTAGAAGAGAGTGTGTCTTGTGACCACCTCTTTTTTTATTGTTTCCTATTAGATGATCCTTCCATCTTCCTACTTACCACTAAATAATGTTGTTGTGTCAATTATAATAATTATGTGTCTAGCTAAGCAATAGTATGGAAGACTTTGTATATTTTGAAGTAACACTACTGTATTGAAGATAACTTTGGGCATGTCCACGCAGCAGGGCAAAGGTCGAATTAAACTATGAAACTTCAAAGCTACATCAATTGTGTAGCTGAAGTCGAAATAGCTTAACTTGACATGTTGGCTCTGTCTGCACAGCAGAAAGTCGAAGAAAGAACACTCTTCCTTTGACTTCCCTTACTCCTTGTGAAGTGAGGGTTACCATGAGTTAGAGTAAGAAGTCCTCCAGCTCGCCATTATTTCAAAATAACGGCTTGCTGTGTAGATGCGCTCCTTGTTATTTCAGGATAACATTAGTTATTCTGAAATAATGCTGCTGTGCAGACATAGCCTTTGAAAGGAAAAGTACTGCAGAAGCAGGATGTGTGCATTACTTTGTACAGATCTTCAGGCTTTTCTTTTCAATGCCAGTCCTGGACACTTGTAGAAATAGCTGGAAATAAGGCCCATGATCTCTGTATGACACATCTGCATGAGTTCCAGGGACCACAGTTTGGGAATGGATAATTTAGCACCTTCAAAACCACTTGAAATATGTACATGAGAACATAAGAATACCCATACTGGATCAGAACAAAAGTCCATCCAGCCTAGTATCCTGTCTGCTGACAGTGGCCAGTGCCAGGTGTCCCAGAGGGAGTGAACCGAAAAGGTAATGATCAAGCGATCTCTCTCCTGCCATCCATCCCCCCCTCTGACAAACAGAAGCTAGGACACCATTCCTTACCCAACTGGCTAATAGCCATTAATGGACTTAACCTCCATTAATTTATCTAGTTCTATTTTAAACCTTATTATATTCCTAGCCTTCACAACCTCCTCATGCAAGGAGTTCCACAGATTGACTATGTGCTGTGTGAAGAACTTCCTTTTATTTGTTTTAAACTTGCTGCCCATTAATTTCATTTGGTGGCCCCTAGTTCTTATATTGTGGGAACAAGTAAATAACTTTTCCTTATTCACTTTCTCCACACCACTCATGATTTTATAGACCTCTATCATATCCCCCTTTAAGCTCCTCTTTTCCAAGCTGAAAAGTCCTAGTCTCTTTAATCTCTCATCATATGGGACCCATTCCAAACCCCTAATCATTTTAATTGCCCTTCTCTGAACCTTTTCTAATGCCAATATAACTTTTTTGAGATGAGGAGACCACATCTGTGTGCAGTAGTCAAGATGTGGGCATACCATGGATTTATATAAGAGCAATAAGATATTCTCTGTCTTATTCTCTATCCCTTTTTTAATTATTCCTAACATCTTGTTTGCTTTTTTGACTGCCACTACACACTGTGTGGACGTTTTCAGAGGATTACTTACAATGACTCCAAAGAAAGAAAAAGTAATTTTGAAACATTGTAGTTGTGGAGAAAAGCTTGAAAATATTAATCTTAAAGGCTCCAAAGATCAGAAGTCAAATAAAATGGACTCAAAAACTCCCTTCATGACTTTTAAGATATTTTAAGGCCTTGCCCATGGTTTTTGATACTATTGTTTTCATTCTTAGCCCCAATCCAGTACCCACATTTTTATTATATTGCAGGCACTGTACAGCCACTTGTTTGAATGTGCAGATTTCTGTGAGTGTAGGTAAATGTACTCAGATCTATTGCAACAACAGATGAGGTCCTTTATATCTCACCCGTAAGATATATATATCTAAGGACCAGTTCCACTATCCAAATCAAAACTGGGTAGCATGTTACTACTTCATTCCAGGGGCACTACTTAGGCCAGGAGTGGCCAACCCATTCCAGACAAAGAGCCCCAATAGTAGTGGAGACAGCATGAAGAGCCGGGGCAAAGTTGTTGAGGAAGAAAAAAAAATGCCGTGATGGGGGAAAATAGGAGCTGGTACATTCGTACGGCTTTTTTTTTCCTTTTCGTTAACAAATACCCTTGCCCGGCTTCCTTCCCTGCCCCTCTGAGGTCTCACCCCGTTCACTCCATCCTCCTGAGCAGAAGTAGCGGGGTGGCAAATAGAGACAGCCCATCACCCTCCAAGTCCTTTTGTCCTTCCTCTCTGGGTATGTCTACACTGCCATCCTACTTCGAACTAGGGAGGCTAATGTAGTCACTGGAAGTTGCAAATGAAGCCCGGGGCGCACAGCAGGTAGTTCCAATTAGGCTCTCTAATTCGAACTACGGGTACACCTCGTTCCACGAGGAGTAACGGTAGTTCGGAATAGGAAGCCTAATCTGAACTACCTAGTTCGTGCCGCGTGTAGCCACAGGCACGGAGTCCGAACTAGTGGACATTTAAAAATGGCAGCACCCGGCAAATGAAGCCCGGGAAATTCAAATCCCGGGCTTCCTTTGCAACTCCAGTTGCCTACATTAACCACCCTAGTTCGAACTAGGGTGGTAGTGTAGACATACCCTGAGGCCCCACCCTTGCTCCATCCCTTTTCCAAGGCTTCACCCCGCTCACTCCATCCCCCTTCCTCCCCGAATCTCATTCACTTTCCCCAGGCTGGGGTAGGGGATTGGGGTGGCGTACACCACAGCCCCCTCTCAGGCAGTGGCCTGGTAGCCAACATTAGTTGCCCCAGAGATGGAGCTGACTCCTGCATTAGGAAGGCAGAATAAGGGACACCTTGAAGGTAGGGAAGCAGGGTGGGTTCTGGAGTGGTTTAGGGCATTGGCCTGAGCAGCACAGGGTGGTGGGTTCTAGTACTCTCCCCCCCTGGGAGTAACCAGACAGCCGACACAGCATAAGGGTCCCTCTGAAGGTAGAGGGGTGGGTTGTGTTCTTGAGTGGACTAGAGGATATAGGGAGGAACTGGCTCCCACATTTAGAAAGCAGGGTAAGGGGCCTGCTGAAAGTAGGGAGGAATATTGGGGTCTCCAGTGAACTTAGGGATAGGGCATCAGCCTCTAGACCACAGGGTGGTGGACTCAAGTACCCCCCAGAACCTATACAGGCAGGGGCCTGTCAGCCAACATGAGTTTCCAAAAGGACGGAGCTGGCTCCTGCATTAGGAAGGCAGGATAATGGATGCCCTGGAGGTGGGGGTGGTTTCTGGAGTGGACTAGGCAATAGGGCATTCCCTTGAGGAGCACAGGCTTGCAGGTTCAAGTCCTCTTCCTGCCTCTGTCCAGCATGGGAATGACCAGACAGCCAATCCAAGATAAGGGACCCACCAAAGACAATAGGGTGGGTCCTGGAATAGACTAGGGGATACAGCATTCCTGTGGGGGAGCACAGGGTGGTGGGTCCAAGTCCCACCCACCCTGGAAGCATCAGGACAGCCAGCATAGGATAAGAGAACCTCTGAAGGCAGGGAGGCTGTGTGGGTCCTTGAGCAGACTAGGGGATAGAGCAGTTGCCCCAGGGATGGAACTGGCTCCCGCTTTAGGAAAGCAGGACAAGGGACCCTCTGAAAGCAGGAAGGTTCTGAAGGCATGGGGATAGAGCATTCACCTGGGCAGCATAGGATGGTGGGTTCAAGTCCCACCTACCCTGGGAGCATCTGGAGAGCCAATACAGGCTCCCTTAGGCATGGAGCTA